ACTTGGCCTGTACAAAGAAGGAAATTTTACTTCTTGCAACAGTATGGATGGACCTGGAGAGTATTATGCTAAGTGAAATAAGCCAGTCATAGAAAGACAAATAACATTGATTTCACTTAAATGCGAAATCTGACGAACAAAACAAACACATAAAGTGAAAACAGACTTAAAGATACAGAAAACAGACTGACAGCTGTCAGAGGGGAAGGGTTTGCTGAAAAAGGTAAAGGAATTAAGCAAAAACAAAACAAAATCCCACACTCCATTCCTTTAAATCCGAGGGTCAGACAGGGGAGCCTGGGCATGTAGTCATTTAAAACTCACGTGACAATGTGCAGGTGAGGCTGGGTAGCAATTTGGTTAGATGATCAATAGGCAAGAATTTCATAAGTTGTATGCTAGAGACAGATGGAAGTACTGATGTGCAAGGCAGCTTTCATTCATGAAATTCTGTGTGATGATTGCTGGGATTATGCTTATTATTGGTGAATTTCCCCAAGATGCTCTCCACATATTTTGAAGATTGTTTTGTGTGCAGGTGACTTAGTTGACCAGCCAGGAACCAGACTGTGAGTCATTCCATAACATTAATGTTCTTGAAAGACTATCCACCACAATTTCGCATGTATTTGTTTTAAAAGATGTAAGAAAATGTAGCAAGAGGAGGAAAAGGAGGTGTGGGTTTTAGATGCTTTATACATCCATGCCATGATGTTAGGGAGTTTCAAATCTAAGTACTTTCTAGTTCTCTTGAAATGCCACATTTGTAATATTCAATCCTATTCCTGTCACCTTATTTATGGCGATGATGATGATGATGATGAGCCATAGATTTTCTCTCTTTTATATTATCAGTGTCTATGCAGTGTCAAATGTTCATTTTAGAGGCTTTTATAATTACCAGGACTTGGAATAAACTCTACGTAAAATAAGAAAGCCAGTTTGAGACATTAGTATTTGTGGGAGAACTAAGTGGGAGAAAATAAGTTTATAATTTTCCCATGATGAATGCTTTCTAAGAAAAGGAATACGTTTTGAATATGAACATAAACCAGTAAAAAAAAAAAAAAACAGAAAAGGGAAGGAACTCCTTTTAAAACAATCACCTAAGTGTTATGAGAAAATACTCCAGAGTCTTACAATCTCAAAACTAACTCTCAATATTCAAACTCTCAATCTGTTTGATTAAAAAAGTTTATTGAGCTGTAAAATAAATACACTTCCATTAAATATTAAATAAATTATTTACAACCTGAAAAAATACTTTTTCTCTCCATGCATCTTTATATACAGATATAAGACTTGCATAAAAAGTGACAATTGAAAGTTTAAAACCATTAGAACAAGAACGTCCTGTTTTCTTATGATCCACTGGAAAGAGGAACCAACTCATCACTCCTGGTTGTGACTTGGCAGTGACTCCGATCCCTGTTCAAAAATAAAATAAGGTGTTAGAAAGAAGCTCAGTTCCAACACAGCTTTAAGAATATGTCAAAGAATCAGAATTTCTGTCAACTTGTATTTCTAGGATGTCTTAGGAAGAATGCTACAAGCGTTTCAGAGCCAGACTATCACACTGATTTGAATCCCTCTTTCACACCTCCCTGGGTTACGTGCCTGCTTAGGTAGAAGGCTGCATATGCTTAAACCTGTTCCATCAAATTCTGCTTAATAAGAGGCAACAACAGTAACCAAATCTATGCAGTGGACATAGTTAAAAACAAAGGTTAAGTGGCTCAGTGTATTTATGTTATACAGTTAATTTAAGATAATTAGTAGCGAGAGCATAATAATAGTAGCTACCAGTTAATAGGCAGCCACTGTGTGCCAGCACAGCATATTCCTTTACCTAAAATCATCTGGGACCTGCTTGGGAGGGAGAGGAGGATAAAGGGGGGATAAATAGTGATGGAAGGAGACATGACTTGGGGTGGTAAAACACAATACAATATACAGACCATATATTATAGAACTGTACAACTGAAGCCTATGTAATTTTATTAACCAATGTCACCCTTAATGAATTCAATAAAAATAATAAAAAATTAAAAAAGAAATCTCAGTTGCGCTAAAAAACCAAAAATCCACCCTCATTCATGTTGGTAGTCTTAACATCGGCACATTAAGCCTTTACATTAATATGTTTTCATACAATAAAGACCTGAGTATAGCATTGGCATGGATAATTACCCATTTCCTGAGTTTACTGAGTTAGTTATGTAATAAGCTTGCAACATACCAATGTTAAATGTGGTATTTTCCCAAGCAAGCATCTAGAGCAGGGGTGGGCAAACTTTTTGACTCGAGGGCCACAGTGGGTTCTTAAACTGGACCGGAAGGCCGGAACAAAAGCATGGATGGAGTGTTTGTGTGAACTAATATAAATTCAAAGTAAACATCATTACATAAAAGGGTACAGTCTTTTTTTTGCAATAGTTTTATTCATTTCAAACGGGCCGTAGGTTGCCCACGGCTGATCTAGAGTGTTAATTTAAAATGGAAATGCTGATTTAGACAATTTGGAATTTGGCTTAAGAATATGCATATTTAATAAGCATCTCAAGTCATTCTTAAACTCATCAAAGGGGAAAATATCAATGACTTAAGGATGGGGCCTTTTTCCTAAATGTCTGAGGAAACAGTTTCTTCTTCTGACTGATTTTAAGTGTGTCCTTGAGCTCCTTGCCTCCCTCTTCCTCTAGAAGTTTGCTTCATTGGTGTTCACTTTGTTATCTATCAAATATTCCTCTTCATACTTTCTTACCTTCTTCCTACCAACATGCTCAACTCATCTTCTTTACAAAAAAATTAAAAATAAAAACTGCAACATATATTCTAACCAAGCTCTTGCAAATCTGCACCCCCTTCACCCTCCCTACTCTGTTCCTTTAAAAGGATATTCAACCTGCTGCCTCCACCTCACATTTGTAATGCAAGCACTCCGACTTTGGCTCTCCATCACATGAGCCCAATCTATCATTTCAACCTACTCTCCCCCAACATGCATTTGAACTAGGCTGTCTGTGACAAGTTTCCAAATGACCTAGTGCATCTTACAGCATTAATCTTCCTCTCCTTTCATAGTTGCTTGTCCCAATCTCATCAGTCCTTTAAGGCTTACTCCAGTGCCACCCGACATATCCATTCTCTCCTGCTCTAAATGCATCCTACTGGATTCCTTCTACCCCTTCATGGGAAACGCCTCATATCCCATTGGTTCCTTTCTTTTTTAAAAAAATTAATTTATCAAAGTGACATTGGTTAAGAAGATTATATAGGTTTCAAGTGTACATTTCTAGGATACATCATCTGTATATTGCATTGTGTGCCCACCACCCAAAGTCAAGGCTTCTGTCACCATATAACTGATCTCCTTTACCTTTTACTCCCCCTCCACCTTCCTTCTCACTGGAAACCACCATACCATTGTGTGCGTCTATAAGTTTTTATTTTTTTCATTTGTTCATTTACTGCTTTCAGTTTTATATCCCACATGAGTGAAATCATATGGTTCTCCTTTGCAACAACATTGGTTCCTTTCTCATGACACACATTTTACTTCACCTAGTATTCTGTTTCCTTACCCAATTTTCTGTCTACTAAACATTAAGTTTATTGAGAAGAGCATCTATGTTTCCCTCATGTTTATATCCCTTATAATACTAAGGACAGAGCCCTTTCTCAATATTGAACTCCACCTCACGTTTAAAGAATAACACTTTAATGTAGCCAATATTTACAGTGTATCCATAATTAAGAACACTTTCCTAATTTTTCTTAATAGATGCTATATTTTTTCAAAATTATATTATGTGATCTAATGGTATCTTTTAAAATACAAACCTGTAATATCATCTTCATTTATGCTATGATGTGTGCATTTCCATTTTCTTGTCGAAGTTTCTTTTGCTCTTCAGCTTCTCCTTCATATTCCCTGAAGCATCGCTTTCGAAGCCTTTAGAGAACAAAATATTCTACTGTCATCAAAGTTTTATTTATCATATATTAACTGGGGTTTTCATGAGTACAGGGAATTCCTTTTTGTGCATCCTTTATAGACCATTATACATTATACCCTACACCAAACCAAACCAACATGATAAAGTTTTTTTCATGTTTTCCATAGGATTATTAAATATTTCAACTTGAATAATTACAGGTTTAAATAATTACTTCAAAACATCTTTAATTGGCAACTTTTTTTTCTTTCTCTCCTGTGTCAAATAATAATGGTTTGTCTGAGGGTATCTTTCCTAAACACATCTGCATATCTAGCTTGAGGTTCTAACAGATCAAAATCATTTCTAGGGTGTGCAAAACAAATTTAAACCACAGATCAAACTTTATGTGCACCATAAAACAGTGTTCCTTTTTTATGTGCCATTTTATCATTATCTGATCCGCATTTAAAATAATAGTAAACAATGGCAGAGATAACCCCTTGTTTCCTGAATGGCAAGAGTGGTGGATCATGTACACAATCCAGTTGTTAAAGTAATTTACCAAGACCTAAAATTAGAATAATGAGTCTATTGCTTTTCCCAAGCTCTAGTAGCACATGAGTCATCATAGAGCCATTCACACCCTCCCCCAGCTTCCTTAATTCACTGACTTCTGTTTGACAGACAATGCCATTTTGACATACCCACCAGTGTCTTCAAGCCAGAACAGTCTAGTTCTAGCATTCATTGGTCATGAAGTGAGTATGTGATCTGCTACTGTGAGCACAGAGAAGATATTGCAGGAGCGAAACAAGTAATAGAATTGTCCCTGCTTCCTACGCCATACCATACCTCCATATGGAGGAAATGTTGTGTGTTTTTAATAATTGAGTTCCCATATTGCATTTGACCATAACAAAATAGGCATAAGCTCTAAGTAAATTAAGATCACGCTCTAAAATTCCCAATTTGGAATTTTGCATTCTAATAAAAGCAAAGACATATCTTTTCTGGGCTCCTGTTTTGAAGCTCTCTGTGATTTTTAGTATCAAAGCAGTATCTCTGACAACCTACTTTGAACCAGGCCTTAGATTCCGGGAGGCTAGCTTAAGCTTAAGATACTCATAGTAGATACCAACACTCTGAAACTTGAGAGTAGTCATGAGTAGAAATATGACATGAAACAAAACCATCAATTTTCAAGTTCAAAAAATGTCTAGATTTTGTGGAAAAGGCCTTTACATATTAAGTTTCTTTGGTGGTCAAAGTAACATAAATTTGGACAATACTGTGATCTTTGTCAATGGAGTATAAAGATATGACCAATGATCACATGCCACCCATAGAATAATTTATTTAAAATATGATAGTATGTTATAATAAAAATATTGAAATTAACCTGGCATGATTTCATGAGAAAAGTTTAAGTTATGCCATACTTACTGGATTATAATAACAGCAGCAACAACAGTGAAGGTCACAGCTGAGACAAAGGCAGTGATGACTGCTAATGTAATTTTTGATAAGTCATCATCAACCATGCTGTGAGTCTTCATGGACTTTCCCGCACACCGTTCACCAAAGTAATCCTGATGACATCTGTAAACAACCCACATTTCAAAATTATAATCTCTAAAAACATTTTATATACTTTAGGCTTACTTTCCAGGTCATAGCCATTTAATTCTAATATTTAAAAAATAAAGCTCGCCTTATTTGTATTTCAAATTCTAAGACATACAATGCATTCGAGCCAAAGTTCTGTTCGTAAAAGAACAAGTTGAGATTAGTTGGGGTGTTATTCTAGGAAGACACACCTTTTCATTCTTTGTGCTCCTTTTATGACCAGCTGATGAGTTCAGTGATTTGTTATGCAGCTAAAACAGTTCACTATCGTTTCATGTACTAGCAGCTTTTGTGGGGAAGGAGGATAGAACAACATTATGTGAAAAGTATCTTTAGGTCATTTTTTACAAAGAGGTTTTGTAAAACCTACGTTGTAAAATGATGGTTTGTACCAGGGGTCCGTCAACTATAGCCCATGGGCCAAATCTGGCCATTTGTCAGGGTTTTTAAAGTGTACAAGCCAAAATTTTTTTTTACATTTTAATTGATTTTTCGAGTGAGGGATGGAGAGGGAGAGAAAGAGAAAGAGAGAGAGAAACATCAATGTGAAAGAGAAACACTGATTAGCCACCTCCTGCATGCCCCTACCAGGGATCTAGACTGCAACTAGGGCATGTACCCTGACCCAGAATCTGTCGACCTTTCGGTGCACAGGAGGATGCCCAACCAACAGAGCCACACCTCTCAGGGCTACCCAGTTACTTTTTAATTTGTTGTATAAGTACATACATAATCTTGACCCAGGAAGTCTAAAATATTTACTGTCTGGTTCTTTAAGAAAAGGTTTGCAGACTCTTGGTTTATACATTGGAAATATGAAAATGGTTTTCTGCAGCTGGAAGTTTCAGACATGGTGTTAGAAATACAGAATTCTACATAATTTAGGAAAACTTACCTGCATGATACTTTTTTCATATGCTCTCTATATATGCATTCTCCATGAATGCAGAAATTTTGAAATTTTGTATCACAGGGATTTTTCTTTTTGTTTTTTCGATTTTTTCTATTTTTCGGTCCTTTTTTCTTTCTTTTGGGTTTGTCTGTAGTATTTTCACTTTCTGTTTTGTTTTCCTTGGGTTTAAATACCTGTTCAACTAAAAAAAAAAAGATTTATTGACAAGAGTCTCTCTTCATTTTGAATATCATTTTGGAGACATGATAGAAAGAAATCCTAATAGTGAGAGCTCATGGGAATAACCATCATATTTGTCTCATTATTTAACACAATTCATACACAATAATAGGGCAAAGAGAATACATGTATCGTGTGGCACTTATAAATCTGAACCCCTTTGTTATTTATTCACTTAGAAACATATTTTGAATTTATATGTATCATTATTATCATTATTGATGATATGGGTTACCTGTCCAAGAAAACCCATAAAATATTTTAAACAGTTTTCAAATGTCTAGTAAATACCAAGTTCTTGGTACTGGACATTAATTAAATTAAACTCAAATAACAGTGAAATGTATTACTACCCAGATGATATAAAGGCGAACCCTGAAGTTGAGTGAAGATAACTGGCCCTGGGACGGGTGGCTTGCAAATGGCAGTGCTGGGACTTTACAGCCTGTTATTTCCCCGCTCCATAATGTTTTCTCTTGGAAAAGGTCAATGTCATTTAATGTCATAAAGTGGGACATGGGCATATTTGTGGCTTTTATTTATCCATATGGGTCTAGTGCTCACTATCATAATTGGGAACTAGTGTGCATTGCCTGAGGGTGGGAAAACCTGAAACGTATACATTAGAGATCATCCGTTTTCTCCAACTCCCAGATTACAATGGACTATAATTAATCGATACCTTCCAGGGGGTTCATTTCTGTGGTCAATCAATTTGAAAAAAATAAGAGTCTCTAGATATATTTGTTCTTGATGCTTCAGAGACTCATCTCAACCCCCAGGTCGACAGAAATGTTTTTTTCATTGTCATAGTTATGCAGGGTATACTTTCACTACATGTTACATATAGAAAGGAGGAGTTTTCATGTTAGAGCTGTACATTTTGTAGTATTAATCCCTGAAGAGACTTATCTGACCAAGTATTGAGCAAAGCTCAATGACAAGAGGCAATGATCATAATGTCAATGTCATAATCCCATTAGTCATAATGGTCCTACAGTATCCACTAACTGGAAAACATTAGAAACATAGGGAAGGATATCAAGATAGAACCTTGTGATTAAAGAAACAACAAATAAATATTATAAATATTTCAGCAGGTTATTACAACAAGATTAAGAATAGCCAAATTGGGAGCTATGTTTAATAGGTAGCTATTCAATTTTTATACTGAAACTTTCCTCTGATATTAAAAAAGTGCCACAAATTAGAATAAATCCTCTTATAGGTACATTGTAAATAGCTATTATTGCATTTTACCAGACATATTACAAAGTTTAGACAGAGGCAAATAATTGCTATTCTGAATAACCCCTTGGATTTAATAGCCTTTCAAAGGAGTTAAACCAACATTTTCACTCTTATCACACAATGTACTGCAATTTTAACCACTAGCCATTTTCACGACTAACAATTTGACCTTTTGAAATGTTAACAACTGGAAACACCTTTAAGAGAACAGTTTCTAGAATCTTAATGGTCTAATAATATAATTTCTCCAAAAGTAAGAATTATAAATGGACCTCTTCCCACCATACATCTAAGTACAAGTTCCGAAGCAAGGGAATAAAGTGGAGTGTTCACTAAAGCTTTTCCCACCTGTCACTTAAGCAGGTCACTGTCCTTATGGTATCACCCGTCCTCTCTCACCAGTTCTGGGATCCAGACAGAGAGGGAGAAGTCCAGGAAGCTAATGTTAGTAGAGAAGGGGCCTCATGTCCTGCCTTCACCTTGGATGATACTAGGATATTCAGATCTGATTTACTGATGACCTCATCTGCCCTTGAACTCTGAAGTAATATGAGGGTAATGAAAAATTTTTACTTCCTACTTAGATAGTCTCATTTTAAGTAAATGTTATTTTCTAAAGCCAACAGACAAAGCGAAGAAAACTATGACTCACTATTATTGAGCAGACAAATGGGATTTGGAGTTAAATTGTGATTTTAGTGATATAAAATCCAGGCATATCTGTTCCTTAATATTTCCAGAAGATACTATTATAATTACATATTATAATTACCTATTCAACACCTAGTGCTTAAGGCTGAAGTCCAATTGCTCCTTTCTCTCTGTTCCCTTGTGCTAGAATGTACTTCTTTAGGGAAGAGTGATGGTGGGAGATGGAACAGAAGCTGAGATACAGAGGAGACAGAACTAGCAGGTGTCTGTGTCTGTCTCTCAGAATAGGGTGTGTGAGGCACAGTGGGAAAGAGCGTAGTATCTGGAATCAGAAAGACTGGAGTTCTCATTCTGGCTCATCTGCTTACTGGCTAATGGAACCTTGAGCAGAACACTGAACCTTTTCAAGCTTCAATGATCACATCTGTGAAACGCTATTTCCTATTCATAGAGTTGTTGTGAAGATTAGGCTTAATAGACATAAAACATTAGAGATCTTGACATCTAGGATGTGCCCTCATATAGCTCTTTCCACCTCAGTTTGTGGGCTTACCTAGCAGGCTATACAACAACCACACATACCATAAAGCCACTGGAAGATTCAGGGAGCGGCTTTTCTTTGGAATTCGCTTTGCTCATACAAGCACACACTGCATAGAATACATGTTCGCCTTATCCTCTACTCACCTCTGACTGAATCATCTACGATATAGCCAGATATTTGCCTCTCACTATCATACTCTTCTGCATAGTCATAGTCGCTCCCCGAGGGCAGTTCACTATCAGAAGGCTCCTCACTCACAAGGGAAACCCCACTTCTTGAGGTGACTTCAAATTCATCAGCACTGTAGTCCCCAGAAAAGGGTTCCCCTTTTCCAGAGTAGGTGTCATTGGCGGCCGATCCAGCAGCATAATGGGCTGTGGGAGAAAGAACAAGGGAAGAGAAGGTAAAGCAGAGTGCCTTCCTGGCCAGTCAGCTGCGTTCAGGAGAAATGTTTATCTTCTGATATCAAAGCAGTTATTGCATATGTGCTATTGCGATTGCGTCACTCATGAAAGCAACTCCACGTTTTGCCAACAAGCAAACTCAGCTGTTCCAATTACAGAGCTTCTTTCATCGAGGTTTTCTTTTCCACGGAGAGTCTACATTAATTTCCACATCAAAAAAAAAATACTGCCAAGTAGGCAAATTAATCTAACATACATAATTACTTAACAGGTATTGTCTAAATATTCCCATCTCTTCACATACCAAATGCATTGGTTGCTAGAATACCACCTGCCCCATGATATCTAGAACCCTAGACAGGTTCTAGATACAAGTATCAGATTTCCTTAACACGTGCTCACATTTTCAAAAGCCAATGTACATAAAATGCAAAAAGTAACATAAAAGGTAGTCAATAATGATTCTTCGTGTCAGTTTTATTATTGTTGTTCCTGATTAAAAAAAAAAAAAAAACCTGGGAACTAGGTAAGGTACCCCAACTTTAGCCTTTAGACTTCAAGAAAACACTGGTGCTTTGAACTTTAACCTGGGACGATACGAGGTCCTCTAAGAAAGCAAAAGCCAAATCGCTAGACAGAATTTAGACGAGACGCCTGGGTCCAGGGCTTAGAACTTGAGATCTGCAGAGATCACGTCACCTCCCTGGACTTCGCCTGGCTTCTCTATCTAAAGCGGAGGCTGCGGATCACAGGATCTCTCAGGTCTCCTTGGGCAGAACTTAGAGTACGGGACGGGGACTCCCGCACCCGCTTCCTGGCCTGGGACGGGGGACACCTGCCTGCTTTTCTCTTCCTCCCAGGGAGCAACCCCGGGGAGTAAGCTACTGTGAGTACCTCCCGCGGGAGAGTTGGGAGCCCAAAACGCTTTTTTTTTTTTTAGAAGAGCTGCCGCAAAACTCCAGAGGCGAGCGCTTTGGCGGGCAGTGGGAGCAGCGCCGGGCGGACCAGAGCCGGGATGGCCTCACCTGAGCCCAGGATCAGCAGCGACAGCAGCACGGGCGCCCGCGGCAGCAGCCGGGCTCTCATTTGAGTACCTCCCGCGGGAGAGTTGGGAGCCCAAAACGCTTTTTTTTTTTTTAGAAGAGCTGCCGCAAAACTCCAGAGGCGAGCGCTTTGGCGGGCAGTGGGAGCAGCGCCGGGCGGACCAGAGCCGGGATGGCCTCACCTGAGCCCAGGATCAGCAGCGACAGCAGCACGGGCGCCCGCGGCAGCAGCCGGGCTCTCATTT